ATTGAATGACCCAGAAAGCATCAAAAGAAGATGGAGGGAATACACAGAATCACTGTACCAGAAAGAATTGATTGACACTGAAAAATTTCAGAAAGTACCACATCAAGAGGAGCCAATGGTAACGAAGGAGGAAGTAGAAATTACATTGAAGGCATTGGCAAAAATAAGGCTGCAGGAATCAATGGGAATTGACTTGTTTCAATTAACAGGTACAGGCTTGGATGTGCTCACCAGTCTATGGCAGGAAATTTGGAGGACAACTGTTTGTCCAATGAATAGGAAGAGATCCATGTTTGTTCCCATTCCCAAGAAAGGTGATCCAACTGAATGTGAAAACTATCAAACAATATCATTAATCTCACATTCAAGCAAAATACTGCTGAAGATTGTTCCAAAAAAGCTGGAACGATAGATAGGGAACTTCCAGAAGTTCGAGCAGAATTTAGAAGAGGTGGTGACACCAGGAACATCACTGCTGGTGTCAGATGGCTCTTGGCTGAAAGTAGGAATACTAGAAGAATGTCTATTTGTGCTTTAATGACTATGCAAAAGCATTTGACTGTGTGGATCATGACAAATTGTGGCTGACATTGAAAGGAATGGGAATCCCAAAGCATTTAATTGTGCTCATGTGAAACCTGTATCTGGCCCAGGAGGCTGTTGTGTGAATGGAGCAGGGGAGCACTGCATGCTTTAAAATTGAGAAGGGAGTGTGTTCCACACCTATTCAGTCTATACACTGAGAAAATTATTTGAGAAGCTGAACTCGATGAAGAGGAATGTGGCATCAGGATCAGCAGGAGACTCATCACTAACCTGCACTATACAGATGACACAGCCTGTTTGCTGAAAGTGAGGAGGACTGAAAGCATTTGTTGCAGCAGATCAAGGAATGCAGTCTTCAGTAGGGGTTGCATCTCATTGTCAAGAAAACAAAGATTCCAGTCCAGAATAAGAGGTGCACAGCAAAGTGGACTGGGGGTCGGGGAGGAGGGAGGAAATTGAGTAACAAATGAAAGTATCTTATTAAGAGAAAATCAAACTGTGAGGGCTGAAGGGTAGAGAGGAAAATGGGAAATGTGCAACAATGAATGAGTGGAAATCCAAATTTTCTGTAAACTTTCATTAAAATATCGATTAAAAAAGAAAACAAAGATTTTTACCACTGAACCTATAGGCAACATCGTAATGGATGAGGAAGTGATTGAAACTGTCAACAGCTTCATCTTGCTTGGATCCACAATTAATACCTTTGGTACCAGCAGTCAGGAAGTAAGGAAATGCATTGCACTGGGAAAATCTGCAGTTAGGGACCTTTCCAAATTAGTGAGGCGTAATGATGTCAGTTTGAGAACAAAGGTGCATCTGATACAGGCCATAGTCTTTCAGATCACCTGCTATGCATCTAAGAGCTAGACAATGAATAAGGATGACAGAAAAAGAATTGACCTCTTTGAGCTGTGGTGTTGTAGAGGAGCATTGAACATCCCATGGACAGCCAAGAGAACAAGCAGATATATCTTGGAGAGGGTGCAGCCAGAGTGCTCTTTGGAGGCAAGAATAATGAGGCTTCACCTCACATACTTTGGGCATGTTTTTATTTCTTGAAGAGGGACATGATGCTGAGAAAGGTGGACTGTCAGCAGAGGAGAAGACCAGATGGACTGACACAGTGACTGCTGCAGTGGCCTCTTGTGTGTCAGGACATGTGAGGATGGCACAGGATAGAACAGGGTTCAGATATTTTGTTCATAGGGTCGCTATGGGTCGTATTCGACTTGATGATACCTAACAACAAGTTCTAGTAAACACTGTCCATAATTTTTCTTAAAATATCATTGTGAATTTCTGTTATGTGGAAGACAATTTTTTCTTTCTTTGTCTTGTGAAAACACAGCCTAGAAGTAATCAATCTAAAGCTAACCATCTATCTGTCTGTGTTACCCTCATTCAGCTTTGACCACTTCTGTGACACTTTCTTGCCCAGGAATCCATCATGATCCATCATGTTCTCAGCCTTTTTCCAAATAGGGAAGGAGCCAAAGACATAGATGAGCTGCTCCTTGCCTCCAGTGAGTTTAGAGCCTGGGTGAAAGGCAACTTGGGAACACAAGACCTGGGAGAATGTCCAGATATTTATGTGATGCAGAAGGAACTGGAGAAGATTTTCTGGACAAACCTTTTCCAGTTGTATGCATCTGGCAACTTGCCTGTCCTGCCTAAATCTGTCATCTTTCCCTCTTCCATTCATTACTTTGTGCATAGGAATCATTGGGATTAGTAAAGACAGAATAGCACAGGGAGCCTAAAGCCGAACACACGAATGTGAATCCCAGCTCTGCCACTCAGTAGGTGTGTTACCCTGAGCAAGTTACCAAACCTCTCTGTGCCATGATTCTTTCTCATGAGAATAATGTGAGGATTAAATAAACCAATCCATCAAAAGCTAGAAGAAAGAAAAAAAGGATAATTGGCACTTAGGCCTCTGGAAACTCTATGAACTTTGATAAATGCTGATGGTTGTAGAGGGGCTTCAGGCCTTTTGTTCATAGGGTTGCTATGAGTCCTGCTTGACTCGAAGGCAGTCAGCAACAGCAACAACATCCCAGCTCCGTAAGATTTAACTGCTTTATCTTTAAGAGGTCCTGGTTAAGCCCTTGGCTGCTAACCAAAAGGTTGGCAGTTTGAACCCATGAGATGCTCCGTGGGAGCAAGATGAGGCAGTGTGTCTGCAGAGCTCTGGAAACCCTAGAGAGCAGTTTTATTCTTGTTTTATTGATTCACTGTGAGTCAGAATCTACCCGACAGAAGTGGGAATGGCCCTCACGCAGCTTCCCTAAAGACGCAACGGCCTGTGACGCAGTACAGGCCCTGGGCACATGCATAACAGGGACTTCACCAGCACAGACATTTTCAAGATAATGTGTCTCACTTAGCAGCTCCTTGTTCCTTGTGCAGTGTTTGAGAATAGGCTTGTTAACCAAAAGGTTGGCAGTTGAAACTCACAAATATGACAGTTTGCTTCCACAAAGATGGAGACCTTTCAAAATCCAAGGGGGTAATTTTACTTTGTCCTTTGAAGTCCGAATTAACGCAATGCCAGTGATCTTTAGGGTTTTCTTATTAAAATTTATTTTTATTTCTGACATTTGTGTTTAATCTATAAGTATTTGTATCTGGCTCATGTCCCTATATTAAACTGAAAGTTCCATAAGGACATAGATACAAGATAGATACATATACTTGGTGTCCAGACATCTTGGATTTTCTGAGACTATTCAGACTTCAGTATTTCAGCTCTATTTTCTGAACTCCAAAGTCTGTCAAAGTATCCTAGCATATGATTCAGAAGAAAAATAGTCCGCACCAATGGATGCTCATCGCAGACTCGAGCAGCTTTATTTTCACATGGCACGGTGCTCTGGAGGCTTCTCTAGATGTTTTCCAAGATTCACGTGGTATTTGCCAGCTGGCTCTTCACTACCTGCTTCCAAGCAACCCAAACTCAGAGATTGGGGCCTGTAAATCCCAGAGGAGGAAATTCTGATCCAAGCTTCCAAGATAAGACCTGGTGAAGACAGGGTCAGACTAACCCAACCAGAGGATGACAGAACAATAGCAGAAACTCCCCAAGTCCAAAGGCAGAAAAATGAAAACTCTTGGTGAGATGGTGGGAGAAGTCTGCATGGAGGTCAAGGGAGGACAATCCGTAGTGGTCATGGTCTCTGTTCCATGGAGCCTGATGTTGTGGGAGTCATTTGCTCCTGTGGCACTGGTTGCATCTAGCCCTGGTGCGATTCCTAGTCACAAAACCACTGCCACCTGAGATCTGTTGTTTGAATGTCCTGGGTCTTGTGGTTTGTTCCTAGTGGACAACCTCAAAGCATCTTGGGCCCAGGTTTGTAAGAGTCGGCCCTCTAACGACCAGAAGTACCAGCAGTGCCTCATCTTACATGATTATTTCCTCCAAACAGCCGTTTAGAAACGGTCCCTGTAACATTAACAACATGCCTCAATCATGCATGAGTCCTGGCCCCTTGAATGTTGATAACCTGTCTTTAGTTGGATAACAAACTATCTTTGTCCCCCTAGTGGGACACTTGAAGGAAACAGTTTATCTTTTTTTTTTCGCTTTAGGTAAACATATTTATATTTCTATTATAATTAGCTTTGTACTTATCTCTATTGTTGTTGTTGATTGCTGTTGAGGTCAACACATAGCAACTCTATGAACAAAAGACCTAATGCCTTTCCATAACTATCGTTGTTTCTCCAAGTTCATAAAGTTTCCAGAAGCATGTGGTTTAGGAATTGGATGCCACTCCTGCTTCCTAACCTGTTTTATGACTGGGAGCTCCACCAAACACTGTCCACATTGGGAAACCATTCTGGTATTTGATACCCCAATGGCACAAGGTTCAGCATCACAGCAAACCCAGGTTACCTCATACAGCACATTGACAAAGAGTGAGGTGTGAAGTGGAAGAATGTTCTGCCAGATATAACAGCACTAGTCTCACTTAGCAATAGTTAAGTGTTTTTGAGTCGTATATGACTCAGAGTAAGCTTTGCACAAAAGACCTGAAATCTGTCCTATGATTAACATCATTTCTGTACATTTGTAAGAGAGTTTATAGAGTGTTCAGAGGCATCTAGTTTAGGAAGTGGATACCGCTCCTGCTTCCCCACATGAATCATCCAACCGTTGTATATACTGGATGTGTATATTATGAATATTAATTATGTTGTGGAATATCTCTTCTATTCCTTTTTTTATTTAGAGTCTGTGGTTGTGTTGTTGTGATTTTTTTTCTAAATAGAAAAGGTATTGGATTTTACCTAATGTCTTTTCTGCTTCAAGTGAGATGCTCATGTCAGTGGTATGATGAATTTTGACTGGTTTCCTAAAGATGAAGTAACCTAGCATCCTTGGCCTGAATTAGTATCATTAGAATTGAAACCCCAGTTTAATCTAGATTCTGCTCTCTTCTCAATGTCAGCCTGTTTCTGGACCAGTACAGAGTCAGCCTCGTTGATGCAATAAAGAGATTACTCCAGCCCAGGGTAAGTATGTTTCTATTTTCTCCTGAACATTGGCTTCAGAATAATTAGTCTGTGCACAAAGATGGAGAGAGTAATGGAATGGCAGGATTAATGTCATGTAATACTTTAATACTTATTATGTCCAACTTCAATTGGGCCTTCTGATCTATCAGATTCTTTCTTAATCATAACTAGGAAACTTCTTACCCTTGGCCTTCTGATAAGAAGCACAGTGGGTAGTAAAATGAATGAAACTGCTTCAAAGATAGTGTGAGATTATTTTTATCAAAGCATTTCTTGAGTCGTTTCCTTTGATAAAAATATCTTCATATTAAAGTAGAAGTATGATATTGAAAGTTTTCTGTTGACTTCTGTCATTTTTAATCCCTTCAGTGGTTGCCTTTGTCAATGGGTATTTATTTATTTATTGCAAAAGAATTGTCTTTTATTTTTATTTATATTTATATTAAAGTAAAAGGACTTCAGATGAATCTGTATATTAAAAGTTCTTTGCTTTAAAAGGAAGCCATTATTTACATATTATAAACATTAGGTCACAATGAAGTCAAGCATGGCATAAAATATTGTGCACATTTTTACATTTATATATCCATTTATGCCTGTGAGTAAATTACAGAGTTTGTATCCATTCTTATTTTGTTGAGCTGTTGTACTAAGCTAGGAGGTCCTGCAGTCTAAACGGAGAGTTAATATACATCTATTTAAAGTAAGAAAACGAGTTTAAAGCTCATGCATTTAAAAAAAAATCTTATAAGTATGTAAGACTCTTGCTGTGCCATAGGAATTTAAAATAGGTTAGCAATGTTAATATAATCTAAAGCTGAACTCACATTTATTTGAGAATGGACTGCAGAGATAGGTACATTGAAGGACGGAGAGAGAGGTGGTGGTAAGTGAGTGTTGTATGCGTACACACATATCTAAAACTAGTTTTTACTTGGTCATGATGAATTATTTTTTTATATACTGTTGGATTCTCTTGGCTAGAATTTTGTTAAGGATTTTTGCATCTATATTCATGAGAGATACTGGTCTGTATTTTCCTTTTTGGTAATGTCTTTGCTTGGTTTTGGTATTAGGTATTAAGGTTATGCTTGCTTCATAGAATGACTCTGGGAGTGTGCCTTCTTTTTGCTAGTTTTTTAAAATCATTTTAGTAGAAATTATTTTCTAAAGTTATGTTTCTAATTTTTTACATTAAAAAAACAAAACCCTTTCAGTGAAAGTATATAAATCTTAGTGGTTTTCCTTCAATCATTCATGCACATGAAATCTTTTTGAAAGAACACTCGCTCTAGTCTCCTGACCTCTGAAAACTTGGAGAGGAACACTGTGGAATCTTTCTTCACATTGAAGTTCCTGGAGCGATTTGATAATCATCCCTCATGTTACATGATGACTTTTTATTTTGTTATTTTAATGTACGTCTAAAACTTTACATAACATTCTCAAAGGAGTAACTGCAGCTCTTGAAGCGATGATCAATTTGGGCTCCTCATTCTGAGATATAGGTGGTAGGTGTTGAGGTGAGGACTGCATGTGCTCCAAGCAATTGATTGCTGCTGTCACGACTCTGTGAGCAGTCCATGCTGAGGACAGAAAAAGAAATTGGGGAATCTCTTCACTCTGTCATTGCATATCTCCCTTCCCCCATGCACTGCCCCCAGCCCCCGTCCCTCCCTCAGTTACCCTTGAGTGAGTCTTATGAGCATTTGCAAGTTCAGGATTTTCAGAGAAGCCACTGAGATTCTGAGATGGAAAAGCCTGTGTGAAAATGTATCATACATAAATACAATGCTTTCAAGGACTCCTGGATCTTACCCTGTGCAAACAGTACTCCACTCATCATCAACACCCCTTCAAAGCCTATTTGTGGCAAATACTGCATTTTGTAATGGATTTGCATGATTTACCTAGGATCTATTGTAAATCATGCGAATGATTTACAATAGAAAACTGCCCGCGCTATGAATAGAGCTAAATGCAGATTGGTGTGGAATCTCCAGCAGCAATCCTGTACCCTCTATTAAACCCTGAAGCACATTCTCCCCTTGTCTAACGTGGAGCTCTACACAGCGGGGCCGCCAAAGGAGGGTAGTAGCCCTCTCACTGACAGCTGCTACTCACTCCAGAGCTTGGACAAGAGTGAGGCAGAACCGTGAAATAGGTGGTACTCCTTATAATTTGCCGTAGCAGGAATGGAAACGGGAGCCAGACTTGGGCCCTAGTGGTATGTCTGATACATAAGGCTTCGAAGTGATCCAGCCTAATGTGTGAAGGATCACGCAAATTGTAGATATGCATAGAGAGCTCTGGTAGCCTGGTGGTAAGGAGCTGCACTGCACACTTGAAGGCACACAGTTCAAACACACCAGCTGTATTGTGGGAGAAAGATGGGCAAACTCCTCCCATGTGATTTTCCACCCCTCAAAACTCACTGGAGGGTCAGCTATGAGTAGGTTCCAATTTGATGACAGAAATATATAGCTATTCTGAAATTACCATCAAGAAATAGCATCTTCATATAGATATTCTAGGAGGCAGATGATTTAAACTTCCTGGGCTTCTACCCAACTGGTCTTGGCTGTGAACAGCACAGTTCTCCATACTTTGCTAGTGGACAGTAACAGTTCCCACAGCATGGTGGGGACCTTGGGAAAAACTGAACCTTCTTCTGAAATCTCATTGTTGACTGTCCTGCTTCCCAAAGACCTCTACTGACTAAGCTTATGTGTTGTAGAAGCTGACTACTAAGGCTAATTTCATGTTAAAGATTGCATTCTATTACAGTTACAGCTGGTTTTAATGTTCTCTTGAGGCCAGATGCTTCTCCATGATTCTGTAGTTCAGAGACTCAGACTGGTTGGTACATGAGACTCTGAAGAAACAATGAAAGGGACAGCCTTGGTGGAGCCTGAGTTCTCAGAGAGCCAGTGCTCAGCAAATTCAACACAGGGCACAGCAAGCTCTCAGCATGTTCAGCAAAAGCTACACTTCAGCCAGATGCCTTCAACTCAAGTTTCAGTTCAATTTAACTGATTCCACAATCTCTTGCTGACTTAAGGGAGACTGCTCTGTTCCAGCAGTGTTCTACCAATTCCAAAATCCTCATTTCTCCCTGAGAGAAGCTATAGAGTCTGAAGGTGAAAGTTTACGTTTAAACCTGGGCTCTGCCATTTACCACAGCCATTTCTCTAGGCCTCAGTTTCACATCTAGGAGTGAACTGGCTTTAGCACATAATCAGCTCTGAATATATGTTAACTCTTGCTACCTTGACGAAGAACTAGAGAGACTTTCTGACCATTGCGAATGCCAGATAGAGGGGACTGTGCAGGTCTCTTCTGCAGAGGGAATCGACCACGTCCTTGATGCACATTGATGGTTTCTGCACACCCCTGGGACCCACAGCGTCCTCCCTGCGTGTATGTCCTGAGTTCCTGCCACAGGCCTTCCATAGGACCTGAAAGGACTGTCTGCACTGAGAGAGGAGAGATTACGTCTACACTCAGGAATGAAATCATTGCAACATGAAGGTTCAAGTGTCAAGCTGTGGGAAGAAAATCAATCCTGCCCTTCTAAGAGGTGCTTCCTTGATGTCTGGTATTGTTGTTGTGTATCGCCAAGTCAATATTGATCCATAGTCACCCCATGTGACAGAGGAGAGCTGTCACACATGGTTTCCTGGGCTGAAATCTTTAGGGGAGTGGATTGCCAGATCTTTCCTGCAAAGCAGCTGGAGACTTTGAACTCCTGGCCTTTTGTGTAATAGCCAAATTCTTAATCACTGTGCCACCGACATCCTTCCCTGGACTTCCAGTTGTATAGATCAGCCATCTAGAGGTTCCAGAGGTAGAGAAAGGAGAGTTAGTGGAAGAAGACCTCTGTTTTTCTGCTTTTCTACCGGGATCAGAACGAGTGGAGAGCTTAGCCCCTTGGTTGGGCCCAGGGCTGTGTCCAGTCACAAGGCCCAACTTAGATCTTCAGCCAAGCGGATGCCTGGGCCCGTGAGAGTCCACACAGGGGACTGCAGTGTGGCAGGAAGTACCTGTCACCTGTCCAAAGGGGACATTCCTTAAACTAGCTGCCCTGGAGGAACTGTCGAGACGGTTGAGGCCTCCTGGATAAACTCCAGGCCCTAGCAAACTTAACGAAGGAAAACATAATTGAGACTAAAAAGTAATGAAAACAGCACATTTTACTTATTACAAGAAGTGCCTGCTTGCCCCTGATTTTCCCTCCTGTGAGAGGCCTCTAGTAGCTTACGACTGATAGGATGACGCTCTCTTGCCGTGTTCCTTAAGGTCCGCATGCGCGATGTCTGATATCAGAGGACCCAAATGTAATTTAAAAGCTGGCCACAGCAGCCTGCTAGCTGAACTTGTATCCAGAAATGACAACGAGCAAACAGTAACTCCTGATAGTCCTCTGAAATGGCTTTGGGTGCAGGGAGAGGAGCTAAAGGAGCGAGGCTGTGTGTGTTTACTGCCAGGACACCAAGCGGGTATATCCAAATGCTGCTGGTTATCACTGGTTGTCAAGAATTCAAAATTATCACTGTGGGATTCACTTAACTTTTTTTAAGAACCCAGCCCTCACCAACCCTTTGCTTCCTGGCATTCTGCCAGTGTCCGAGGAATGCCAGATATGTAAATCACAGACGCGAGTTTTGGAAGAGCAATTTCTTTTTTACTCATCTTCTTGCAAAATCTAACATCTGTACAAACATCTGTTTTGTTTTTCGCTTGTCTGAGGAGATTACATTGGGAGAATGGCCTCAGTGCTTGAACTGAGAGCTGGTTGTAGGACACCTGGGTCCTCTGCCTGCTGGTCGAGTCCACGGCATAGCAGATGCTCCCCTGATCTCTACAAAAAGCTGTATTCTGCTGTAGGTAGCCTGGTCAGGTTTAGGAGTGCATTTGAAACATGAGTTATAGGAATCAAGACCGTCAGAATTCAAACCCTAGTCACAAGAAGCTCTTTTCTAAAGCCTACCTAGATA